CTTTCACAACGAAAAACACAGCGGCCTAGCGTGAGGGGGAGCCCCGGCTTAGCGTGCGCTGAGGCCGGGATAGAGTGAGCTGAGGCGGCGGCACGTAGAAAGGACGTAGTATTGGGTTTTATTGAGTATGAACAATCTAAAAGGAAACAGTTTTATGTAGTGAATCTGACTTTGCTTCTTGCAAAATTTCACATCCACAAATGCAAATATTCAAACTCTAGACCTCTCTTCTTTGTTTTTATAAAAGATTTTGAGCAATACCTTTCATTAATCCAGTTGTCTAAGAACAAAAAAGCCTTAAAAACTTTATCTATCTGTAACTCTTTTCCTATCTTTAATGACATGTAAATCTCAATTTTATTCTTTCAGTTTGTAATGTATTAACAACCCCCTTTTTCTTTTTTTTCGTGTTCTTTTTCTTTCCTTTTTGTTATTATTGTTTATCTTTTTTATGTTAATGGTTGTATTATTCTATGTGTACTATTCTTGATTTTTGAGCATTAATAAAAAATTAAATTAAATTTAAAAAAACCTCTTCAGAGCCGAGTAGAACGTCACGTGTTGTCATCTCGGAACTACACTAGATGTCTCATTGGTGGCGGTGGCTGTCAATCAATTTCACGCCGTGGTGTGGGCGGGGCAGAGCTAATGTGGAAGCAACTACCTTCAGGCGCGGCTATGAGTTTGAACGTTACGTTTTTCGCTGGTTTGCCAAACTGCCATAAAACACCAGAGTTTGAACGTTGGTAAATTCTCGGTCGTTTCAAACTGTCCACATAGAAACAAGTGCTCAAGAATATGTGAAGCCCCTGGCGATGGTATATTACACGTTTACTTCATAAAGTCCTTTAAATTAAGTCCATTCAATTTTCTCGGCACCTGGATAAACGGGGATAAAAGTGGTAATGTGTTAAATGTAGTCATTTAGAAGTAACACATTTAGTTTAAGGACAATGTTTTGGCATTATGTGCCTCAAACTTAGGTATTATTGCATTATTTATTGTCTGCTATGAATTAAAATAGTTTAGAAATCTACAACGTGTCCTGAAGCTGTAAATTAATGTTTGTGCAGAGATTGTTGTTGTTAATCTACCTCGTTCTGGGATTGATGAGTTGTAACACCAATTGAAAAAATGAAAATGTTACATTCTTTGCATAAATTGATTGTAAATTAAAGATGAAATAATTAAATTTATTTAAAATTATTATGGTTTACCCCATAGCCATCCCCATTTAATTTGGTATATTTTAATTCAGTTTGTAAATAAATAGGAAATAACATAGGTTGTTAGCTTTTTATACAGTCTATGTGACTAACTCTACTAACTCTGTAACAATTGTGGCAAATGTAGTATACACACTGTTGTGTTTTTTTTTCAGCTAAGACATGATATTTCTGTTTACATAGGCACTAATTTTTAGATGAAAACCTAGTGGGGATGTTAAATCAAACTAAACAAGAAAACCTGCTGCTTCAGATGATACCAGTTTTGTCTTTTAACATTGATCTGCATTATCACAAATTAAATTATCAGATTCTGTGCTCCCCCCCCCCTTTCCTCTCTCTCTCTCTCTCTCTCTCTCTCTCTCGCTCTCTCTCTCTCTCTCTCTCTCTCTCAAGCATACACACGCTGCCGCTGAGAGGACTTGGAACGTCGGTCTGTAGCAGATAGAGGGATGCACGCCTCTCTCAGTAGATTATCCTCACGCATATTGGTTCAGGTTACCAATCACAATGATGCAAAGGAGACGAAACACAATGGAGAACCCTTTATTCTATTCATCTCACAGCCAACATCACGGATGGATTCAAGTCTCAGGTAGGACTGTCCCGTAAGAGGGTGGAGAGTCAGTGCTTACAGTGAGAACAAGAGGAGAAAATCTGCAACACTTTAGCTTTAGCAATACTTTCTCTAATGCAACAAGATTTGATTACTGATTTGCACTTTTTGCCCTGAAATACCTTTTTGAGGAGTTTTGAAGAAACTTGATTTGATCAAAATTTGTAAAACAGGAAATCTACACTGAAACAGGCAAGCTAGATTAGTGTGTGTATCATGAGTAACCTCCTCAGGCAGATATAACTGTTTTCTACATTAGAGAAATGAGATTGGAACTCTGTGCCATGGAAACACAGTCATTTATTGTGTTTTAAACAGATGTGTTAATTGAGGCATGGCTCTACATGATACTTGTTGATGTGCTTTTTGTGCGGATCTTCTGTCAAGATCAGTTAAGAACACGGTTCAGAGAATTTCAAAGGAATTTATGATATAAGCCGGAGAAAACAGCTGCCCAGTAAGTCCTTGTAGAAAAGAAACTTGAAAATAGGTCTGTTTAATGCTGAGTCAATTCAAAATACTTCCATTTCAGAACAAGGTTGTTGGGTTGTAGAGTTGTTGTTTGATGTGTTTTTTCACTGTATCTACAGCGAGTACAAAGACATTGAGTGCTCATAACCTATTCCTTTTTTCTCCATTTACATACAGTACATGTTCTTACTCATTCTGATCTCAGACATTTACAGTTGGTGGGTATTTTCCCTCCAGACAAGCACTCTGACACATGGTCATCTGCTGTGAATAATCACAATGCCAAAAATGTATACGGAACAAGTCACATGATTTCATAGCAACAGTGGCACATTATTTACTCATGTTGTGCTTAAAAAGTTACCAGGTTTATGCTTTATTAATCAGCAAAGCATATTTAATGCACTGCTGGACCTGGTTGCATCTATAGGTTCGATACCAAAATACACATTTATGCCATCAGGTTTTAACACAGGCACACCTGTTTTAGGGGTCACTCACATAAAAGTGTTTTTTTTTTTATTTTTTTTTTACACTTTATTAACACTCTACACTCACACCTATTGTGTTACGGTCAGCCCAGCAGTGTTCAGTGTGCAGGTTTCACTCTCCCTCTACCCATCGTCACTGCGTGGTGTGACGCCCTGCTCAATAATCCACTCTATGAATGTGTGTTCCGCTCATGTAACTCTCATGCTCACCGGAAAAGCAAAGTCCACTCAAATAACGCGCCGACAGGAAATTTCTATGTAGTATACTTGTTCCTGTTTGCAATAGTGCAACTGTGCTGAAATATGGTGTATAGCTATACTGGGCAACGCTGGAAAAATTACGCTACCCTCTCATTCACTGATCTGCTCCCCACTATGCTCTGCTCACATGCTCCGATAATGTAGGACTATTCATTATTTGGATAATTAGTTAAAAAAAAAGTTATCTTATTCTGTTGCACAGAGCTGAATAAACATAATATATTGACATTTAATATTAATTTATTTTCTGCCCAATTTTTTTGTATTACTTTCAGTAAAAGTATGGTTATTTCATTGGCTAGTGTTTTTTTTTATTCAGTATCTATATTAAAATTGTTGCGTTAAATTAAAGTCTTACAAAATTACTTTATATTATTTAATAATAAATAATGAATACAAAGCATTTTCAGTTTAGGTTTTTGGCTAAGTGCATCCAGAGTTTTCATTTCGGTGCATCCTTAGACGACACAAAGAAGTGTTTTGGAAAGGATGTACAGATTTTGGTGCCTACAATGGTATTAGAGGTCAAATGGACATTAACAATATGTGGGTTAAATTTATTCTTTCTTTATTATTAACACAATAGGAGTTCAACATTTTTCATATTTTATATTGTTTTGGAAAACAGAGTTACCCATATTTTCAACATAAAGAGCATTAACAAGTGATATGCAGGGCAGTGGAATGAAAAAAAAACATGCAAGGTTTTTTAACTTGAGTGCTGTTTTTGGAACACTGTGTAATGCACTAGAAACAAGCAAAAGAAGCAAGGTAAGCAGAGCAATATCGATTGCTGTTCATTATAATGCTGTAATATCACTTTTAGCTTTTAAAATTATTTAAATTTAAAGGATTTAGCCTTTAGTATTTTATTTTAATATTGGACATCATAATCTAGTTCTTTATGAATAAGGCTGGTTGACAGTGTTATTTACTGTAGTAGAATTCCATGCTCTTTCTTTCACTTTTGTTGTTCTGAATGTATCAAAACTATTCAATGTTCAAATCATTAGTAATCCTTCATTACCTAGTTCTGCTCCCATAGATACCTTTTTTTTTTAAACAGCACATAAAAGGAAGCACAAGTGTGTGCTGTGCCAGGATGTGTTTTATTAGTGGAAGCGGTGTTTTTCTTGTGCATGCTCTATCTAGAGTGTGTTTGATCGTGTTTTTGTTGTGATGTGTGTGTGCTTGTGCATGTGTTCTGCAGTGCTTTCTCAGTTACTGTTTTAAGAGCCTTGGGACTCTGTCACACACGGCTTCTCTTTAATACCCTGCTAATTGATTTGTCCTCTGGAAAATGTCAGTGGGTGTGATTAGTAATCCTTCATTACCTAGTTCTGCTCCCATAGATACCTTTTTTTTTTTTTAAACAGCTCATAAAAGCAAGCACAAGTGTGTGCTGTGCCAGAATGTGTTTTATTAGTGGAAGCGGTGTTTTTCTTGTGCATGCTCTATCTAGAGTGTGTTTGATCGTGTTTTTGTTGTGATGTGTGTGTGCTTGTGCATGTGTTCTGCAGTGCTTTCTCAGTTACTGTTTTAAGAGCCTTGGGACTCTGTCACACACGGCTTCTCTTTAATACCCTGCTAATTGATTTGTCCTCTGGAAAATGTCAGTGGGTGTGAATGAAGCTCACATGCTCCCCTCAGGCTCCTTCAGGTTCTTTCCTAAAGCAGCTTTCCCCTCTCTTTAAACTAAATGACCCATCATAAATATCCCATCATTCCGTTTTTCGCTCAGGTGAACATGCTCATGAATTCCACTTCTGGTTAAATGTCACTGCCACCAAAGATTAAAGACAGGGGTTGTAATTCCAAAACAGAAATCCTCTCTTTTTGTAGCATAATGAGATGTGTGTCCTTACGTATAACAATGGGCTCATATTGTAAATTCAGATTAAACCTGAGTGTAGATGAGGGATTATTGTCTATGTAGAAAAACTAGGTAGTATTCTGGGGCCGTTTACAAAAACTTCCCATCTCGTTTCTTTTGTGGAACAAAACTGCTACAAAACATCATCTTTTGTATTCCACAAAAGAAACACGATGACTTTGGAACAAGATGAGGGTGAGTAAATGATGAAAGAATAATCTTTTTTATATGAATTTTTATATATATATATATATATATATATATATATATATATATATACAGTATATATAAAATTAACTTTAATTTTTGGGTGAATTATTCTAAATTCGATCCTGAAAACACCATGGTTACTAACCAGATAAAATAAGATTCTGAGTTGTTGGATGCTTCTGTAATATGGTCCCTGAAAGTTACTACACTCACTGAAGACTCACTTCAGAGCATGAAAATAAATTCAAGATTTCCCAACATGGAAAATTCTTGAGCAATCATTTAATTTGCAGATGTTTCTTATGCAGTCAGTCAGGCTTTACCGGTTACTTTCTGCAAATCTGTATATTGAATTACAGTAAGTATTAGAAACTAGCTGTGTACTTTGTGAACCGAGTGACATATAATCATATTGTAACTTTCACTTATGTCATTTGGAAGAGGACATAGGTGATGTAACAGGGTCATCAATCAGATGTGTAGCAATTGAGATATTAGACACACATGTGTGAATTGTACATACATTGTGACTTCACCATGTATATTGAATTTGAAAGGGGTAGTTGATCAGCTTTTTTCCGAAGGCTTTATTGTGTTTATGGGGTGCAGTGTAACATGCGGTCATGCTTCGTTTAAAAAAAATGTAAATAAATTTTTCACAAATTTTACCTTTATTCTACACCGCTGTTTCCGTTCTTATCAAAGTGGTCTGTAGAGCTCCTGGTTCTATGAACCCCCTCCCTCAGAATTACGCAGTCGGGCTCAGATTGGTTAGCTGGCCCAGTGTGTTGTGATTCTCTAACCGCCTATTGCACATTGTCTGGAAACGTCACACCCCCTTGCCGTTATGGGTAGTTGCATGTTCCTGGGGGCAGGTTTTATGTAAACATCGGGTTAGTGATGTCACAAACCCGGGCAGAAGCTCGTTGTAGTCCCTACCAGCCTTTTTTGTAGACCTTAAACAGCGAATATTTCCCTTTGCATTGAACTTTGAGCATCGTAACTTTGCTGACGTTGTTCATGCTCTAACAGCAACATTACACACTAACTAAAATTAAAAAAAGTGAAATCATAATCAACCACCCCAGTGAAACAATATAGCACATGTAGTACTCAGAGGTTGTGTTAGACGTTCACTTTGTCCATCATTTTGGAGGCCAGGATTGTAAAAATTCCATCATAATCTGTCAATACCTGTCATTTTAATTTTCTTATTAATTGATAAGAAATTTAATAGATTTTGTTCACCTTTTCATTTTTAATCATGAATTTACAGGACGAGCATATAGGCTAGATTATGCATTTATTTATTTATGAACAGATGAACCGAATCTGTGTCACTTTTTGTGTACAACACAAAGAAAATTAATCGATCTTTTGGTCTATGCAGTTTTCAGTTAATGAATTAATAGAGCCTCCCATCCAATAAATCACATTAAGCTTTGTGCTTTGTTACTTTTGATATGAAACAAGCCTCAGATTTCAAATAATGTCCATTATATTTCATAAATTAAATTTTATTTCATAAAATATATTCAAACAATAAAACCATTTTGGCATTCTTTAATGTGGCGTGACAGAGCCTAATCGATCAATCAGTGTTCCAACCGCAGAAAAATATCAATAAAACAGCTTGTAAACAATGTCACATAATGTTACATTACATCAGAAAA